ATATTTATTTCCTAGCTTTTTCCTTGGATTAAGCTGTAACCCCCTACAAACACAGCTCCTGTGGGGTAGCCTTTCTTCCCTGCGCCTAGTCCTCATGGAAGTCTGTTTCATGTCTTGTCATTGACACTTCAGCCCTAGAGCCTAACTATTTTTATTAGTCTCCAAGCTTCTTAGTCCCTGTCCACACATCCACAAATGAAAGTTTCACTAAATTTCTTCAAAATCTCAGAATATATCTTCTGTTTCCTGATAAGTCTCTGATGGATGCAAATACTCACAGTTTTGCAATTCTAAAAATAATATGGCTGTTTACTGACCACTACAGGATCTATGGATAAGACTTTTAAAAGAGTATATTACTACAGAGAGAATGAAGGGACAAAGCAGAACAGACTGGCCCTACAGCCATGGCTTAAACAGTGGATAAAGTCCCTTCTCCTAATATTCAGGCCTCTGAACATTCAGTAACTATCTTTCTGGTCTTTTATAACTTCTGACACAATACCAGTGCATTTCTAATATCCACTTAATCATACGTTAGCATAAATTATGAGCCATTTTAAAAACAAAGATTCTATAATGCTAACACAGACTCCTCATAACCTAAAAAGCAGGATTTTCTCTCCTATAAAGTATTATAAAACTTGACTATGGTTAACAATAATATATGTGCAATTATGTCATGTATCTTTTGAAATGGCTAGAATATTTTTAATGTTATTGCCATAAAAATGATAAATGTTTAAAGTTGATGGACATACTAATTACCCTAACTTGATTACACAATACATAGAAGTACTAAAACATCCCACTTTGTACCCAAATACATATAATTTGTCAATCAAAAGTAAAATAAATAAAAGTGTTATAAAACTTTGTTGTTTAAATTCATTTTCCATTAAAAATTAAATGTGACTTTTTTTATTTTACAAAAGATGGTTGTACCTCCAAATCAAACAAATGTAATTGTCAGTTTCTAAAACATCTCAAAAATAAATAGACTTGATTTTAAGACTTTCTATAAAAAATAAATAATACAGTGTATTACTGACATAACAGGTCACAGGAACAGAGTCCAGAATTAGCTACACAAATATAAAATCAATTGGTTTACAACAGAATTTTTAAGACAAGAGGGGAAGAGATGATCTTCTCAATGAATGGTGAGGGAACAAATGGAATTCTATTTAGGGAAAGAATAAACTTTAACCTCCTACCTCACGTCTTCCACAACGATTAATTCCAGATAAATCATAAACCTAAAAATGAATGATAAATGGCAAAGCTTTTGGAAGAAAAATATGAAAAGATCTTGAAAACATTGGGATAGCCAAAATTTCCTAAGTAGAACACAACAAACATTATCTATAGAAGAAAAAAAACATTTGACAAATAAGACATTATGAAAATCAAAACTCATTGAAAAATACCATCAATATGAAAAGGTGATAGACTGGGAGAAGATATCTTTTAAATAAGTATGTAAAAAGGACACATACACAGCACATACAGTCTTTCTCATCTTAGAAGTAGGAGCAGGGGCCAGCGCCAGCGCCATGGCTCACTTGGCTAATCCTCCACCTGCGGTGCCGGCACCACGGGTTCTAGTCCCTGTTGCTCCTCTTCCAGTCCAGCTCTCTGCTGTGGCCCAGGAGGGCAGTGGAGGATGGTCCAAGTGTTTGGGCCCCTTCACCTGCATGGGAGACCAGGAGGAAGCACCTGGCTCCTGGCTTCGGATCTGTGTAGCTCTGGCTGTGGCGGCCATTTTGGGGGTGAACCAACGGAAGGAAGACCTTTCTCTCTCTCACTGTCTAACTCTGTCAAATAAATAAATTAAAAAAAAAAAAAAGGAAGTAGGAGGAGAGGTTTAGTGATAGAAGAACTAAAATATATCCTGTGGCTTTGGAAATATTAGAGCAGGGCAGGTGGAATTCAGACTGCAACAACGTAAGAAATGAGTAGGCACTGAAAAAATGGATTTAGTAAGCTTGAGTTTAACTATTAAGGCCAGGAGTTTCAACAAAGTATGGTATCTAAATACAATGAAATATTAGTCAGTCTTAACAGGGAGGAGATTTTAATACATGCTGCACTGTAGATGAATCTTGAGGAAATCTTACTAAGTGGAATGAACCAATCGCAAAAAGACAAATACCATTTGTATGATTCTACTTATACAAGTACGAGAAATTTAGTTAAATTCAGAGGCAGAAAGTACAACAGTGGTTGCCAGGGGTCTGAAGATGGGGAGGGGAGGTTACTGTTTAATGGGTGCAAAGTCTCAGTTACACAAGATGAAGAGTTCTGGGGATGAATATTGATGATGGTTACATGCTAAAATGGCTTCAGATGGTTTCATATTAAAGTATTTTAGTATGAACTAAAACACAAAAAAATTAAACAGAGAGATTGTTTTGTTTTAAGAAGGGGATAAAAGTTTAATGCTAAGAGAAGGGCTTTTGGAGAGAGAACTGGAAACGGGAGAGAAAGTTATATGACTGATGGTTTGAGGTTCCTGAGAGGGCAGTCAGGAACGGCATCCAGCTGACAAAGAGAGGGAGATACCAGTCTTTGTGTGTATTTTAAAACAGCAATCAGTCTGGTGATTTCTTCCAATAAGAATAATACAGTGAACAACGGTAGTTCTTTCTTTCTGAAGTACCACTGACAAATTTCCACGCAGGCTTCTGTATAGACTAGAAAGCTGGAAAGAGCCATTCCCTCTCCAATAATGAGGGGAAAAAAAAATGGGCAAATTCATTAGGACGACAATTCTCCCCCAAACTGATCTATACTCTCAATGCAATCCCAAAGAGAAACCAAGCAAGCTCTTTTGTAGAAATGGATAGACTGGTTCTAAAATTGATAGGAAAAATAAGGAACTTGGAATTGTGAAAACATGTTTGGAAAATGAACACAGTTTAAGAACTTCACATTACCTGATTTTAAGACTTCTAATAATGCTATGGTAATCAAGATGTGTGGTACTAGCATAACAGCCACAGTTCTATGAAACAGAATAGGGCTCAGATATGATAAACTGATTTGCAACAAAGATGCCAAGTCAATTCAATGGGAAAAGAATATTCTTCCAATAAATGCTGGAAAAATTGAACATCCATATGAAAAAGGATGAACTCATAATTGGTTATAGGCCTAAATGTACACCTAAACCTGCAGAATGTCTATAAGAGAAAAAGGAAAATATGAGACCTCAAGTTAGCCAGTGACTTCCTGTAAGAACAAAACATACCATCCTTAAAAAAAAAAAAAAAGACTTAGTTTTTTTTTTTAAAGATACTGTTAAGAAACCAAGAGAAATCATAGCTGGGAAAAATATTGGAAATACACATATATGATAAAGAATTTGAACCAGTTTTTCTTTTCCTTTTCAATGATCAGTCAGCACTTGGTCCCTACAAAGCATGCATTTAAGTAGTTAATCTGAGAAAATAGTTTTAAACTGTCCTACCCAGAATGAATTTAATCACGTATCTTTAAAGATTATTAAGCAGAGGTAACATCTGTAAGGGAGACTAAACTGGCTTGAATTACATAAATGGATATCATTTTAAGCTTTCTTTACCTTGGAATTTCCAAGAAATTAGGTTTAGGAAAAAGTATTGAAGGAGGCTGACTACAAGAGGTTTGCAAAAGGAATGTCGGGATATTTGGTTGTGCTTTTCACACTCTCCCCTGCACAGTATCAAATAAAATCAACAAATACCTGTGGAAATACTTATTGCGTAATTGTTTTGATAGCCTGACCTTGTGGGGCCAAGAAAATAAGGCAGTTAAGCAACATTTTAGATAAAATCAGGCTGTAACTGAGTTTCAACGAGGGTGAAAACCATCCAGGCCACAAGCTGAAGCCCAGGTAGTATAACAAGCACGCGTTCCAACTTAAACGCCGTTAATATTTCAATGCACACGTGAACTTGGATTCAGACTTCTCCTGTGAATCCCTTTAGCGTAACTTCTGAAAAACGGGCCGGCACAGTTGTTGCCTAACGCCAAAGGCGGGGAACCCTAAACACACCAGCTACTTCTCCAGTACCGGCTTCGGCTTAAGGATCGCATTCCTCCCACCAGAAATGCCCTCGTCTCCTGTTGCGGACAACGAGGCCACGCAGGGCACTCGGGTTTCCATTTGGAAGCGACAGCTCTACTTGGGCTCAGACACGCCCATTGGAGGGCAGTCCACACCGGGGTAAAAATGTATGCGTTTCCCTTTAACACGGCAAGACTGCTTCCTGGGCTCCATTTCTTCCCGCCATAGGGGATTTTAATTTAGGGTAAAATTCCACAGCCAGCGACTCGGAGCGTCGGCTTGCGAGCCCGCGCAAGCCCGGGGTCTCGGGCACCAGGAAGCGTTTCCGTGGCTGGTTACTCCATTCTTGCGGGTAAAGTCCAAGCCTAACCTGCGAAAGACCGCTAAGGAAAGCGGGACTACGAGCAGCCGGAGGCTCTGCACGCCTAACAAGAGAGCTCGCCCAGCTACCGCTCAGCTCACGCGGAACAGCGCAACGCCCACGGCCCTCCTGCCCCTAGAGCGCCTGCGCAACATCTCCACGGACTCCGCGAAACCTTTCTTCAGGCCCGTGGAAGCGAATGGTTGTGAAATGACTGTCAGGGGCCACCTCACTTTACTTGAAAAAAAAAAAATTAAAGAGTGGGTATCACAAGCACACCAGAATGACCGCTCACCAAGGTAGTCCTAAATGCAAACGACAGGATTTAAGCCGCCTCCCGCGACTTATGTGGTGCTGCCGGAAGCGGAACTCCACCCGGGACGTTAAGAGGGGCGTCCTTTTGCGGGAGGTGGAAACTCGGTCCGGAGAGGTTAGGAAGGCGCGTTTGGCTCCTGCCGGAAGTTGTTCCGCCCGGCGAGCTTTCGGTGTGAGACCCAAGGCGGGCGGGGAAGAGGCGTGCCCGAGATTCATGAGGTGTAGTGGTGCTGAAGGTGCCTCAATGGGGCCCTTCGGTTGCTACTGAAGGGAGAAGACCCGCGTCCACGCGTGCGGCTTGGAGTCTCTCGAAGAACCACCCATCCCGGCCCTCGGAGTTAGAAGGGGTGAACGGAAACCTGGATGCGCTCGGCCGTGTCCAGCGGCTCGCGGGACGACCGCGGCGGCGGCGGCGGCGGCAGGTGAGGGCCCGGCGAGCGATGGAGGACCGGAGATGCAGAGCAGGCTGCGCGCAGGGTCGCGGCCGCGGTGGGCGTTGGCTGCGTTCGCTGTTGTGCTCTGCGGACCCTAGTTGGGCGCGTGCTCCTCTGAGGGGGCATGGGCCGGGGCGAGTGGCAGCGTGGGCATGGGGGAGTGGCGGTTCCGCGCAGAGCTCGGGTCCGCTCGCGTCTCGCGGTCTCTTCCTCCTGGGAAGCCGCGCACTGCAGCTGCGGAGCCGCCACCGCGCGCCGCGTCTTTCCTCCGCCGGGGTGGGCAGCCTCGAGTTGGGGAGCGGATGTGGGCAGAGGTGGCTGTTTTCGTTTTCATGCCGCGGTCTTGTCGGCGCCTCCGCGTGCCCCCTAAAAAGAACAAAAGCCTCGTGGGTTTCAGTGTTCCGTGGTCTGAACGGAGGCTGCGGGCCACCGCCTCGCCTGGGCGACGGGGAAAGTGTTGCATCCTCGTGCCCTGGGTGGGCGAGGCCGGCAGAGTGACCTCTGGACCCCATCCACGAGGTTCTCTGTGACTTACTGGGTGTTGACCGCGCCTGGTGCCTTGCTTTGCCCTGCAGAAATGCTACGCTGGGAGAAGCATGGCTGACTTTAGCAAGAGCATCCTCTCGGGGAGTTCACTGGGAAAGAATTCTGTTTGGCTGTCACAAGTTCTTCAGTGAAATATATAGTTGTTATTGTAGGCGGATAATAATAGCAGCCATTGACGAAGGTCTCACCGTGTCAAATGCTTTACGTGTTTCTCCATCCACGCCTTCAACAATTCCCTGACATTAAACGACCACTCCCCTTTTACAGAGTTAGAAAGTGAGAAGTCAAGTAACGCTAGTGTTTGGCTACAGCTGAACGTCCGAATCTGTTAGGAAGCTGATCTGACTTCGAGGTCTGTTTTCTCTGTTGTCCTACCATTATTCTCCCACAGTTGTAACTTCTTCACTAGCACTTGCAGCGGCTGAAAGAATTCATTAAAATATATATATATATATTTATCTGTATGCGTGTGCCTACCTGTGTCGGACAAGTGACAGATACGTGCAGAATTCAGTAGTTCAGTACTCGCTATACTTCAGCACTGCAGGCTTATTTAAAGCAAATTGTTAAACTGATGGGCAGAAGGTTCAGAGTTGTATAAGCAATGGTTGATGTCTAAGTTTTAAACTCATGTGACTTGCAGGGTGTGAGGATTTGAACTGAACAAATGATGGAGCATTTACAGATCACCCAAATAAGTGCCATGCACCTGGTTAAGTACTGACAATATATAGTTCTTTGTTTTCCAAAAGCTCCCATGTAGATAGTGGCGTAGAAGCATGAATTTTCTTAAGTGGAAATGGTCTCTCGTGCTTATGCGGGAAGATGTCCTTATTGTTTGGAGGTGTTTAGAAATGAAGTTTGTTGGTGCCTAGAACTTGTGTGTCTGTGTGTGTGTGGCAAAATGTTGATAATTTTTGAATCTAATTGCAGATGGATGGATATTTAGTGACTGTTCTTTGAACGTTTCTGAGTGTTTGAAATTTTTCATAATAAAAACTTGGGGAGGATAAACAACTCTGAGAAGAGCAGATGATTGCAAAGATAAATCTAAAATGCCCTGAAGAGTACAAGACGAGAGAGGGTTTTGATGTAACCTTGGGGCCTGGCAGAGGCATTGTAGTTCTGGGGAAGCCCTTTTTGTCAGGATCTTTCAGTTGGTTGTTTAAGGGGCAATGGGAACTTCCAAGGAGAACCATGAACTCCAGGCAAAAGGAAATGCAAGCCCAGCAAAAAGGTATTAAATAGCTGTTTGAAGGAGTAAAGGTGAGAAAAAGACTTTTTCTCAGCCAGTGGTCATGATAGTCCTGAGAAGCAAGCAAGACAGACTGAAAAGGTGTAATGAAGTCCCCAGGAGCAGCAGTGGCAAGTAGCTTCGCAAGGTGGGAGATAAATACAGACATCCTAAGTTGTTTGTGTTTTTTCTTTGCCTGTTAAATGTAGGTCAGAAATCTAAGTAACAGCAGTTAACAAAATATATGAACAGCTAACGTTTACTGAGTGCTTAACATGTGCTGGTTGTATCGCATTGTCATTTAATCTTCAGAATGTACGAATTTATAATCCCATTTTACAGGTAATAGTTGGAGAGGTCAATAGCTTATGTAAAGATGCAGACTTAAAAAACTTTCAGAAAAAGACTTCAAATTTAGTTTTGCCATAGAACAGAGTAGTGGTTCTCAAAGTGGGATTCCAAGACAATCAGCGTCACCATTACCTTGGAACTTTAGGCAAAGTGAAATACTGTCCTCCTCCCTTCCCCCAGACTTTTTCACTTCACAGTTTTAACAAGCTCTCTAAGTGATTCTGATGCATACTGAAGTTTGAGAAGCACTGCTTTAACTGTAGGCACTTTTAAAATAATGATTTTATTTATTTGTTTGAGAGGTAGAGCTACAGACAGGGTGTGGGGGGGAGAGAAAGAAAAGGGGAGAGAGAGAAAGATGTCTTCCATCTGCTGGTGCATGCCCCACATGGCCACAATGGCCAGAGCGGGGCCCATCCATGGTCTTTGGTTTAAAAGAGTGGTCTTTGGTTTAAACAGACCTAGGTTTGAATTCCATTTGTAGCCCTTATTGACTGTGTGGCCAAGGGTCAAGTTACTTGAGCTTTTTTTTTTAGGATTTATTTATTTATTTTATTTGAAAGGAAGAGTGACAGCAAGAGAGCAAGATCTTCCTTCCACTGGTTCACTTTCCAAATGGCTGCAACAGCATGTGTGGGCCAAGAGCCAGGAATCCCATTGGTATCTCCACAAAAGTGGCAGGGTCCAGGTACTTGGGCCATCTTTTGCTGCCTTCTCAGATACATTAGCAGAAATCTAGATTGGAAGTGGAGTAGCTGGGATTCCAGCTGGCACTTTGATAGTGGACACTGGTGTTGCAGGCTGCAGCTTAACCTGCTGTGTATGTGCCAGCCCCTCAAATTACTTGAACTTTGGAACTTTACGTATTCATTTGTAATTAAATGATGGTCATTTATGTATTTATAAAATAAGGAAAAGATCCCTTACCGGAGAATGGCTGAGAGATGGTTTCATCACAAAGTAGTAACTAAGTGCTTCCCAATTTTTTTCACGTGGAGGCATAGGTAGGGATGGATAGTAGTTGTATAGAGTAGTGGGAAAGATGAGGAGAGTGCTGCTGGTGGATCACTGCCCAGGGACTTTGAGTGGTCCTGGAGGCTGAGCCAGTCAATTTCTTGGCATGCCTATAGCTCATTTGTGGGGAGGTGACATGTTGGGAAGCTCTGCATTAATACATTAAGTACTTACACTGTTTTCCCAGTCCTTGGGCCCCTGCACCCGTGTGGGAGACCCAGAGGAAGCTCCTGGATCCTGGCTTTGGATTGGCGCAGCTCCGGCTGTTGTGGCCAGTTGGGGAGTGAACCAGCAGATGGAAGCCCTCTCTCTGTTTCTCCTTCTCTCTGTGTAACTCTGACTTTCAAATAAATAAATAAATCTAAAAAAATGCACTAAGTATGTACCAGGTAACAATGTTGAATAAATGTTCATTCTCTTACAATTTATATTGTGGAGAGACACAAAGTGTTAAGTAATGACAAAGTTGTGGGGTGACCAAAGGTCAAAATAGTTGAGTCCTGAAAACTATTAAGGAAAGTTTTGTGGAGGAAGATCTGTCGGGTAGTTGGGATGTGCCAAGCACTAGGAAGACAAAGAGACTGCCTCATGAGCTTTCTCCTGTTATGACAATAGTGAACACATGTTTTGCTTACCATATGCTTCCATTGTTCTGTGCTTCCCCTCATCCTTCCTCAAACTTGGTTGCAAATTGGAACCACCTGGTAAGCCTTAAAAATACCTGAGCCCTACTCTTAAATTTTCTGGTTTAATTGGAATGTAATATGACCTATACTTGTGACATAAGCATTTTTTAAACATTATGTTTAATTTTTACAACAAGCTATGACATGGATACAATTTACTGACGAGGAAATTGAGGCCCTGAGGTGTTAACTTTGTTCAAAGTCACACGGCTTTGTGTGTGGATTTAAGCCCAGATGTTCTATCCCTTTGCTCCATGCTCTTTACCACTGGAGATCTGTAAGTATCTCTATGTACTGAAATGAAATAAAAGAAAGAAAAAAGAAAGCCTTGCTTGGCCTTGTGTTCTCAGGCTCAATTCCTCTGCCTACCCTAATAACAAAAACCTTCAAAACAACTATCTGTGTAACCTATCTCTACTACCTCTCCTTCTATTCCTTAAATGCACCAATCATTGAGTACAAATGAAAATTCGTATTGAGGCTTCCCATTTTCTGTAATTTTTCTTGGCTTGCCTGCTCTGCTTCAACCTCCTGACTGTTCCTTGAATGTGGAGAATATGCCAACCCTGCTTCTGTGTCAAGGTCTTTAGGTTTCTTCCATGAATAGCTCTTATTGTACAACTCCATGGCTGACTCCCTCATTTAACTTAAATTTCTGCCCAAATATCACCTTATTAGATAGTTCTTCCTACCATATTTATTTGTTCACTTATCTCTTGTCTTTCTCTAAATGAATAAATGACAGTTTCAGATCTAGGCTCATAATCAAATGTGAAATGTATGTTTGTATACTTCAAGCAGCATTAAACTCTGAAACAATTGAAGTGAAGAAAAGGGACATATCAGTCAGTAATGTATGTATTTTTGAAAAACAAATTATGATATTTATAGTTTTTTCCTCTAAAAGTTGATTTCTACTCATGGTTGTACCTTGGGTATAGAATAGCTCAAAATTGTGGGAAAATATATACTAGAAAGATTAGTAGGAAATTATATACAGTATTCTGCAACCAATAACTACAGTCATTAGTTCTGCCACTGGTTCATGGGATTGTTGACTGATTTCTTAAAAACTTGTTATGCATTCCAGGCCTTCCGCAATGAATACTCTAAAATTCAAAAGTTTTTAAAAATTAATTTTCAGCTTTGTCTCTAAAAAAGATTGCTATTATAAGAACACCAAAACCAGGAGGAAATGCAATTGTAAAATAATTTCATGAAGTATGCATATACTACATACACATGTATCTATACATATACATATACATATACATATAAGTATACATATATAGAAGTATATACCTGTATGACTGTGTACTGATATGCTGGATATCCCATTATCACCATTCTGAATTGGATAGTGAGACATTTATGACATTGTTCCATATTTCTATTATCTGTTTTATTGGTATGCTTATACCAGTATACCAATTATAAAATAGAAAATATTAATTCCTGTAATAAATGAAAAGTATTTGTTGAATAAGTTTATTTCAACAAATGTGAAGTTCCTATATTATATTAGTAGGGAGCCTTATTTACTTGAAAGGCAGAGTGGCAGAGAGATCTGCCATCTGCTGGTTCACTCTTTGGAGAGTCTTCCACATGGATTGCAGAGGCCCAGTCACTTGAACCATCATCCACTGCTTTTCCAGGAACATTAACAGGGAGCTGGATCATTAGCACAACAGCCAGGACTGAAAATGGTGCTCCTATATGGGACCCAAGGATCACAGGCAGAGGCTTAACTTTCTGCCCTACAGTGGTTTATTGACAATTTTAAAATGCCAAGTTCTAGTGCTACCTCACTTAGTCTTTACATAGTTGCAGGTTGTTACTATTTGCCTTTTTTTTTTTTTTTTTTTGACAGTCAGAGTGGACAGTGAGAGAGAGAGACAGAGAGAAAGGTCTTCATCTGCCGTTGGTTCACCCTCCAATGGCCGTCACGGCCAGCGCGCTGCGGCCAGTGCACTGTGCTGATCCGAAGGCAGGAGCCAGGTGCTTCTCCTGGTCTCCCATGCAGGTGCAGGACCCAAGCACTTGGGCCATCCTCCACTGCACTCCCTGGCCATAGCAGAGAGCTGGCCTGGAAGAGGGGCAACTGGGACAGAACCTGGCGCCCCAACAGGGAGTAGAACCCGGTGTGCCGGCGCCGCAAGGCAGAGGATTAGCCTATTGAGCCACAGCGCCGGCCTACTATTTGCTGTTTTGTAGATGAAAAACCTGAAACTCAGCCAAGCGAAGATAAGCCCCTAGTTAGGTAGTGATGGACTGAAACAGGTGTGTGCACCTGACTTCAAAGCACATGCCCTGGGGCCGGCACTGTGGCATAGTAGGCTAAGCCTCTGCCTGAGGTGCTGGCACATCGTATGGGTGCTGGTTCAGTTGCTCGTCTTTGATCCAGTTCTCTGATGTGGCCTAGGAAAGCAATGGAAGATGGCCCAAGGGCTTGGGCCCCTGCACCCTCGTGGGAGACCCGGAAGAAACTCCAGGCTCCTGCCTTTGGATTGTCCCACCTCCGGCCCTTGCAGCCGTTTGGGGAGTGAACCAGCAGATGGAAGACCTCTCTCTCCCTCTGTGTCTATAACTCTACTTCTCAAATAAAATATTTTGGAAAAATCACATGCCCTGTCCAACACTGAAATATCAGGACTGTATTTAGATGGAAAGAATAGAAAAAATAAAAAGGAACCTAGAGATGTTCTTGTCATTTGGTGCAAAGCAGAGCTATGATCTGCTTATCCACTGCCATTAAATTTGACAGCAATTGAAAACTTTATTTTCCTCTTTTTCAGCAGATGTTTTTGAATGTAATGTAATACAAAAAGTGGAGCCAGTGTTGTGGCACAGCAGGGTTAATCCACCACTTATAAGGCATGCACCCCATATTAGAGCACTGGTTCAAGTCTGGACCACTCCATTTCTGGTGCAGCTGCCTAGTAAAATGCCTGGGAAGGAAGCAGAAGGTTAAACTCTGCCTGCAGCACTGGCATCCTGTATGGGTGCCAGTTCAAGTTCTGGCTGCTCCACTTCTGATCCAGCTGTCTGCTAATGGCCTTGGAAGGCCGCGGAGCATGGCCCAAGTGCTAGGACCCTGAACCCATTTAGGAGACCATGAAGAAGCTCCTGGCTCCTGGCTTAGGATCAGCCCAGCTCTGGCCTTTGCAGCCATTTGGAGAGTGAACCAGCAGATGGAAGACTACTTTCTCTGTCTCTCCCTCCCTCTCTCTCTCTCTCTCAATAACTCTGACTCTCAAATAAATAAATCTTTTTAAAAAACAGAATATTTAGTCAAGTCATTCCTTATATTACCAGTAATCAAATGAAAAATTTGATATGTAGTTCCATGTTGGTAGATAATTAATTTACATGTAAACAATTTGGGGAAGGAAGATTTTGTAATTGTATCACTGTATGTGCTAGTTCTAGAACTGATGTTCATGGATGTCTGATTATATGGAAAAGTTGGAATATCAGTTCATCACATAAAATTAGACTTTAGTGTATCTGTACTCTTCTAGGAAGAGTAAGTGTAGATTTTATTAGATTTAATAAGAAGTTTTTGACGTCTATAAATTTAAGAGCTGCTGTTAACTATTGTTTTCACTCTCTTTTTTTGTTATGGGTGAGAACAGAATGTAAAATGACTATGTTCCCTAAAAAGTGCCTGTTTACAAACTGAACTTTTTTTGTTTGTTTGTTTGTTTGAAAGAGCAAAGAGAGACAAAGAGAAATTTTCCATCCTCTGGTTCACTCTCAAGTGACTCCAGTAGCCAGGTCTGGGCCAAGATGAAGCAAGGAGCCAGGAACTCCGTCCTTGTCTCCCACATGGGTGATGGGCCCAAGAATTTTAGCCATGTTCCCACTGTCTTCCTAAGTACCTTAGCAGGAGCGGAGCAACCAGAATTCAAACCTATAATGGGATGCCAGCATTGCAAACAGTTGCTTAGCCTCCTCTACTGGCTGCATTAACTGAAATTTTACAAGTTGGTTTAATATCATTTCAGATTAATATTTGGTTTTCAGTGGTTTTAAATCTACTACATTTTATTTCCTGTTCATATATTTTGGAATTTTTAAAAATGATTTTTCTTATTTGAAAGTGCTGACATTTTAGTTTTTAACATAATTTGGTTATAATATGAATAACTTTTCCTAGTTTTCTAAAAATTTTCAGACTGGAGGAATTTAAAGTACAAGTTTTTGTTTCATATTAGTTTATCATATTGGTATGATGGAGATTACTAAATAGTAGAGTCCTAATTTCTTAATTTTATGGAAGAAAATACATTTATTGGGGTATATCAAGTTATTAGTATTGATGTTATGTCATTGAAAATTCTTTTTATGTGAATTTTTTAAGTACTCTCAATTTTTTCATTTTTTTTTAGGCAAAAAGTGTGCTGTATCAACTCAGGGGCATAACAGCAAACTGCAGCAACAACTTTGATATCAACAATGAAGCAATGATATCTGAGGACAAAAGAGCACTTGCCAACTGTTTGTCATCACCATTTCAAGTGTTTGTATAAGCAGAAACAACTGCAACAGATTCCTGGGTCTGCCAGAATAGGGGGAATGTTTTATTCTGATACTAATTATTTCTAAGGAGTTTTAATATAGATTAAGTTATATACAACCAAATGAAATAAAAATGAGTGAAACCCCCAGATTCTTTGTTGGGCCTGAAGATACAGAAATAAACCCTGGAAATTACCGACATTTCTTCCACCATGCAGATGAAGATGAGGAGGAGGAGGATGAATCTGTAAGTTGTTTGTTATTTTGATAAGAGAAGACCCATCCGGTACAGGCTTTTTACTAATTACTGCTAATGTGAATTAATACAGTAAGCTTATATCAAGACTTTTTTCACATATAAATGTGTTACAGTTTTTTTTAGATGAAAAGGTAGATTTTGTTTCTTGTATCTACTGTGAATCCAGAAATACACTTCTAAGTTGTTTAATGATGACCAGTTTAGTTTCTTTCTATGATAGGCATATCATAACTCAGGATTAGGTTAAAAAAAAAAATAAAAAAGGTGGATAAGAGAAACAGTAATCCAGGCTGTAGGTCAAAATAGTTTATTCTATGTAAAAACACATTCCAACTACATCAAGATAAAGATTTAGAAAGAAATTATTTTATTTTTTTAAGATGGAAATAATTTTAAAGGTTCTAAAAAAAGTAGGATAGCTTAACTAAGTTTATTATCATGTTGTCCATGCAAGTGCTGATTACCTGAAAATATCCCTATTTGTTAACTATTCAGTAGTCTGCAAACTGAGTAGCTACAATGAAAGACTACTACTAGGATATGTGTGTGTGTGTGTGTGTAAGTCTTGTTCTCTAACTTAATCCTATATCCATACTAGATTTTATGATGTATTATGTTCAAGTTGCTATAGTTATAATTAACCGAACATTTTTCATACTCATTATTTATTTGTTTACAAGTAAAGATTTCTTTCTTCTGAAAAGTGATTTAAAATACATACTTTAAACATGTTTTTTGCTTTTCTTGTTTTTCAAATTGGACTGTCACTCATTTGAACCCTTCAATGCAGAACATCTACCCTGCCTTACCCTTGAAAAATTGATGATTGTCAAGCTTCTCTTACCAGCGAAAGCTTTTCTTCATTTAATGTCTTACCTGAAAATCCTGCATGTAAAATATAAAAGCAGAGCTTCTATGACTTCTACAACTCTTATGCCTTTTCTGGAGTTTAGCTCAACACTGTGAGCTTCACTGGGAAATCAAATTCATTTTTATTACATACTCATATTTTTATCTCCTGTCTGTCACCATGTGTCTCATATCCTTCCTGTGTCTGTTTTAGTGACACTAAAATTTTTATTTCTACATATTTATTCCATACTGTATTATGTCTGTTTGCTCTTGTATGTAATCCCTTCACCTCTTGGAAATCTCCTTATTTGGGGTACTTTGTGAATGCTTGCGTTTCATGTCTTTCACTCTTTCTACTCTCCTTGCCTTTTCCCCATGCCAGACTTGAACACTTCTTCCTTAGGACTGTCTCTATTCCATTTATCACAATGTACCCTATTATTGCTGTGTTTCCTGTTGGCTCAAAGTACTTCCACAGACAGGTACATTCTACATATCTAATCTTCTGGACTTACTGTAGTTCTTGGAATATTGGTGCCAGATAAACTGAGCTTTCATCCATGATGTACAGTTGTCACTTAGAGGTATTTGATGTGGTTTGTTTGGCCTTTAGCTTTATAGAGTGATTTATTTCAAATCACTCTACTGTTCTTAAGATCTCAAAAATATGAACTTCAATCTTGTTGGACATTAAATTTTATAAAATAACTCAATCTGTTAAAATAATGTTCATGCTTCTAAGATTTAACTTCATAGGAAAATTTTGTAATGTTGTCTTAAGAATGTACATATATTTATACCTTTTAAATATAAAATTTTTCCAGTTCATCTTAGCCAATGAGGAAATATTTATTAAATAGATCTATAATAAATAAAAACAATGTATTAGTTTTTTTTTTTTAAAGGCAGCATGAAAAATTGAATATTTCTGTTTTCTGGATAATCTACTTAAAGAATATTAGGATGAGCTATATGAAGGCTTTTCATCAGGAAAAAATAAGGAAACTAAAAGTAGATGAAGAGGAAAAGACAGCAAATCTCAGGAAAGTTGGGACTTATAATGAAATTCAATACTGATTTGAACTGTAAACTTTGCAAGTTAAAAGAGGCAGTGCAGGAGTGTACTTCTGGGAATAAAGAGCAGTTTAACTATGATGTTATCCAGTTTTATTTTAAATTAGAATAAGAGAAAGTCTAGTAAACTGTGTTTTAGCCCAGACTATGATGTCATGTGAAATATATAAAATATGGAAGAGAGATTAATTGAAAAAACTAGACACAGCTTTGTATAGTTAATGAAACCTCTCTGCAATGTCCTTACTTGGGGTGCCTTTTGAATCTTAATTCTTCAAAGCTCTGTCCAGATTCTGTGTCTTTCATGTTTTCCACTCTCCTTTTCTCCAGGCCAGACTTGAACACTTCTTCCTTGGGGCTATCTCCATACCGTAACATGTATTTCTATTCCATATGCATCTGAATGTAGAGTCTGCAGAATGACTCTTGAGTGTTGTTAGGAATCCATGAGCTATTCATAAATTGTTTGCTATATTCTGTCCAGTATTGCCAGATATCAGTAACACCATTACAAAGGAATTTTGAGTATGAAGATACTCAAAATACTTAGCTATATGGCTTTCACTAAATTTGCTTCCAACTTGTTGTTAGTAACCAACTAGTATTCAAGCTCAATGTAAAAAGGGAAAAAATGGTTAAGGACTGCATAGCTTTGTAGTCACAATATCACACCTTATTTTAGGCAAGAGAATTTCTCACTCCCATTGACCCTTTGACTTATTTAGAATTTGTGCCCTTACTGCTATTTTCTGGTATGAGCAAAGGGTAACCATATACTAGATGCAGTAAAAGAAGGAATATTTAAGTTTTAAATTTGATTGAAAGTAGCAACAATGTTTTGAAAATGTTCTCATTAAATTTTTTCAAGACCTTTAGAGAAACTGTTTTATGTATTATATATTATAACAATTATGTGATTTTAAAAAATAATTTTATTAGTAGGTTAATATGCCACTTTTACTGATTAATCTCACATATCACGTACTTCTGGGAAAAAAATTAAAATGACTAAACTTTGGAGTTCAACTAGGTTAATATTATATTTTGCTTTGTTTCTATTTTAGCCACCAGAAAGGCAGATTGTGGTTGGAATATGTTCCATGGCAAAGAAATCCAAATCCAAACCAATGAAGGAAATTCTTGAACGGATCTCCTTATTTAAATATATCACAGTAGTAGTATTTGAAGAGGAAGTTATTTTGAATGAACCAGTGGAAAACTGGCCTTTATGTGATTGTCTTATTTCTTTCCACTCTAAAGGTATTAAAGAAGGGCGGGGAGGGAATCCCTTTTTCCTCTCTGAGTGTAAAGCTCACTTGTATTACTTAATGTTTGATAAAAGAAAAATAAAATGAAACCTATTCTCACACAGATAGTTGATGCTAACATTTTGACATATTTATTTCCAGTCTTTTTCTTCTGTGTGTATTTCTTAAAAAATGTTTAGTGTCAGTGTCTGTAATTTTACATTTAACTCTTTTCACAATTATATAAAGAGATTTTCTTCCCTCCATGTAATTCTTCAATAATCTCATTTTTACTGTGGCATGTTTGGAAATATGAAGTCATATTTAACTAATAGCTAAATATTTGAGTGAATTTATTTAAAATAAGGTCTGAAACTCTGTGTTACTTTGTATCTCTAAATTTATTAAGATAAATTATTGAATTATTTTAAGCCCTTGTGTTTTTGCCATACAGAAAACAATTTGTTTTTCATATGCATATTCACACTGTATTTCTTAAGAATTTAATATTTGAAATTTTAGGCCTTACTTGCTGTATTTTACTGTATTAGGATATCAGTTAAGTATGCTAATCAAAATTATTACATGTATAACTGAATTTATAACCTAAAATTTATGTTAGGGTGATCTCCCATTGATAAATATAATTGTTTTTAAAGATTTTATTTATTTACTTGAGAGGTAGAGTTACAGACAGAGGAAGAGACAGAGAGAAAGGTCTTCTTTCTGTTGGTTCACTCCCTAGATGGCCGCAACAGCTGGAGCTACGCCGATCCAAAACCAGGAGTCAGGTGCTTCTTCCTGGTCTCCCATGTGGGTGCAGGGGCCCAAGCACTTGGGCCATCTTCTACTGCTTTCCCAGGCCATAGCAGAGAGCTGGATTGGAAGAGAAGGGCAGCCAGGACTAGAACCGGCGCCCATATAGGATGCCAGTGCTGCAGGCAAGAGAATTAACGTACTGCACCAGAGAAATATAATTTAAAACATAGACTTAGTTATAAATGTATCCGTGTTTACTGCACTTGTTACCAAAGATAATCCAGAACTAAGTTAAAGTCTCACTTCAGCAGGAAGAAGATGGGTCATGGTTCACACTTTTTGGGCTTCCAAATCCTAAATTGAATTCCATCATTCCATTGAGAGCCACAGATCTTTCCTGAGGCCCCGTGTTTCAGAGGACCTTAAAACTTGCTTCTCCTTGAGAGTGAAGTGTTCTTTCCTTACTGTTATATGTTTCCTTATCATATAAGCCCCTGAAAACTAGCTGCTGTTTCTAAGGAAATATCCCATGTACTGACCCTTGGTAAGGAAAACTCCCCTTAAACAGCAACAAAACCGGGGAATTAACTGTGTAGGTATTTTCTGTATGCTGATTCTTTTTAGGAGGCTGTAAATCATAGACATTGTACAAATAATGAATTCTGAGAGTCTTTATAAAACTTGAAGGGTTTGTAATTTGTGGCCAGTTGATTCTTGGTATAGAGTATTGCTATTTAAATATTTACAACTAAGGGTGGATTTAAGAATAAATCTTGTTTAACTTATCATAGCTTTAAAAATATTTTTTAAATAATTATTTTATTTATTTTGAAAAACAGAAGTTACAGAGAGAAGTAGAGCCAGAGAGAGAGGTCTTCTATTCCGCTAGTTCTCTCCCCAAATGACCGCAATGGTCAGAGCTGAGCTGATCCGAAGCCAGGAGCCAGGGGCTTCCTCCAGGTCTCCCACATGGGTGCAGGGGCCCAAGGAGTTGGGCCATCTTCTACTGCTTTCCCAGGCCATAGCAGAAAGTTAGATTGGAAGAGGAGCAGCCGGGACACGAACTGGTGCCCATATAGGATGTCAGCACTACAGGCTGGGGCTTTAACTCACTGCACCACAGTGCTGGCCACCCCCCCAATTTTTTTTTTTTTTAATTTATTTGAAAGTCAGAGTTAGAGAGAGAGAGAAAGAGACAGAGATCTTCCATTTGCTGATTCACTCTCCAGATAGTCACAATGGCCAGGGTTGGGCCAGGCTGAAGCCAGGAACCTGGAGCTCCTTCTGGGTCTCCCATGTAGGTGGCAGGGACCCAAACACTTGTGCCATCCTCCGCTACTTTTTCCAAGCCATTAGCCGGGAGCTGGATTTGAAGTGGAGCAGCTGGAACTCAAACCAGTGCTCATATGGGGTACCAGTGTTGCAGGTGTCAGATTTACACTCTGCCACAGCGCCGTCCCCTAAAAGTTTTGTTTTTTAAACTTTAATATCCTTAAATACTTTCTTCTCCTAACTATTCTGGTAATACTACAAAATATAGTGTCTTCAAAGATATACTTAAATATCTGTGGTTAAGTCCTAAAGTTGTACATACCTGTTGATTTTTTTTATCTTGTCCACAGATAGTCATTAAAATTTTCAATTAAGGATAACATGTTCATTAAAATATTTTCACTTAAGGAATAATAATAGGTAACATATACTGAGCACTTATTATGCCAAGTACCATACTAAGTGCTTTATATACACTCATTTAATTGTTCAAAATCCATACTAGGTAAGGTTGATTATTAAACTCATTTATAGCAAGAATTGGAGGCTTGCAGGGATGTTAAATAAATTTGCCCAAGGTCATATAGCTAGTGAAAGATGGAATCAGGTTTTGAACATTGATTCTAATGACTGCTGTAGTTTACTGCTTCCCTTAATGAGTATTGATGGATAAAATTTGAGGCTTTTACTGTCCATATAGAGAGTAAAATTCTTTAAAAATTTTAGGCCTCTTTTTACATCTACCATTGGATTTGTTTTCATTACGTTAGTAATTATACCAAAGCTTGGAAATTTCAGAGAGTTCATTTCTGTTGTCTTAACATTGGCCTGGCAGTAAAATATTTTATATTTTGAATATATTTATTGCATGTCAAGTAATTTTTGCTTTTGCTGCTATTTTTAAAAGTACATAAGTTCTTTGAATGTTAGCTGATTTATATGTATATATAGACTTGAAAATATGAAATGAAGAAGAGTTATATATAAATTAGGCTTTTAAAATCACATAATTCTGATACACTTATTTATATAAAGATTTATTTCTATAATCTTATAGGTAATCAAACCCCATGGTAGGTGGCTGAATAGTCAGGCATTGATTCACATGTCAGTGCTATAAGTATGGTTATACTTGTATAGCCCCTGGCTCACTGTGCCTTATCAGTGAAATTAGGAAATAGATTTAATAGTATAAGTGAAGTCAGTGTTTATTTATATAGTATCCCATACCATTTATGAATGATAATTCTTATGCATAATGAAATTATTCTTTTATAAAAGGTGGCATCAATTCAGGTTGATAAAGCTATAGATGTCAACTTACCTTGATATTGTACAGAGTATGTTAATAATATGTGTTCTTAGGATTTCCACTGGACAAAGCAGTTGCCTATGCAAAACTCAGGAATCCATTTGTAATCAATGACTTGAATATGCAGTATCTTATACAAGATAGGTGAGTGACAAAGTTGACTGAATTAAGTGAAGGAAAGTTAATATTTAGTACCTACTGTATGCTGACATTAAATCAGGTGTTTTCACATAAGTTAATTCATTATAGTTTGAAAATAATAAGAGGGTACATCAGAATGTTTTTGGAAAAAATGAATTAAAAGATGAGCTTATTTTGATGCAAAACAATTGCAAACTTTATGCACAGTATTTTCATAATATAATTTTCTATGAATGTTTTGGAATGTCTTCATATGAATAGATTTCACAAATTTTTGTACCAAAATAAACTTTTTGAAGTATAGGCATACTCAGAAATAGGTGTCTGCATATTACTTAACTTTATAGATGAAGAAAGTTGAGAAACATGAAGATGAATTAATTAACCCAAAGTCACAGGTAGTTCCTCAATATTTGGATAAGGATATATGCCATATTTGTTTAATTTCTAAAGCCTACTGAACCATTGAAAATTATGAACAGTTCATCCATGATATGACTTAGAATGAATTTAGGACTTTATCCATCATAATTAGATTATTTTTTAATAATATAGTGTACTCAATTTGAAATATATTCCACTATATATGTTAGTATTCATTCAACAAGCCAAAATCATGGATTTCTAAAAGAAATTATAAAATATGAGTGTATTTCATTTAATTTTTCACATTGATAGCTATTTGTATTATTTCAGCAGCTTCTTTTTACTTACCATTACAATATGAAATTATGTATGTGCATCTAAAAATATTTTAGAAAAACCCTATAGTTTTTCTTTTCTATTTTTTTCTTGTATTTTAGGGAGTAACATTAAAAAATCTAAAAATTTAAAGCATTTTCCTAGATTTACATATTAATGAATATTTATGTCTGTTATATGCATCTTCATTTAAGAAGTTTGCAAAATAATAGCATGAAGAAAGCTGTTAATCCTGCCACTATATTAACACTCATACATACACTCATATTTAACAAAGTTAGAGTCACCTTTCTGTTAGTATACTATGAGCATTTACTCAGGTCACTGTCATTTATACAAATAGTTTTTAATAGTTGAATTCTATTCTGTCATTGTGATGTATCAATGTCATTTAACCATTTCTTTTTATGTATTTACATTCTCAGTTTTAAAAACTAGTATTTTATTATGCCACAAAAAGTTTTCATTGCCGAATGTTTCTTTAGAATATATTTTTTAATATTTAAAATGACATTTTTTTGAAAAGCTTAATATACACAACCTTTTTAGAAGTACAACAAAAGTAATGTGCTTTAGGAAAAGTACAGTAATAAAATCATTGTGAAAAAGCAATAAAATAATAAGGATAATTTATTTTTTCTTCAGGAGAGAAGTATATAGTATTCTTCAAGCTGAAGGTATTTTACTTCCTCGTTATGCAATTTTGAACCGTGACCCAAATAATCCCAAAGGTAAGAGTAGGAAATTTTAAGCAAGCTGCCTTTTGTCTCTCAACATGCTGTGAGCATTTTCTTTCAGTGATTAAGTGGGAAGAATTTAAGGAATTCATGGTATTCAGTTTTTTTAATTATTAAATAAACAAGCTTTGTATTTGATTAAAATGAGACTGAGATAAAAGGCTAACTGACAGTTTAGGAGTTCTCGATGCTACTTTTCTTTGGTCTGTATTTGACGTATCTCTAAGAATCGAAAGATTTTGAAATTACATGCTTAGTAAAGTACTGATTAGGGCCAAACAAGTGATTTATCTGTGATGAATGAGATATGTATTAGTGACTTCTTGCTTCAGTGTCACACTGAATATCTGATGATTAGAAATATTAAAATACTGCCTCTTATTAATATTTCATAGTACCCTTTACTCATTTTTTCTGATCATACAAAATAGTGTGTCCGTAATACATAGCTTATTGTACAGAGCAAGATAAATGCTTGTCTTAAGAGTTAATATTCTGTTAGTGTTTAGTATTTTGGGGAGTTTTGATGACTGATTGTACCTTAAAGCAACATTTTTGGAAAAACTAGTCACGGCATTTATTATCTGAAACTGGGAACTTTTCTCATTTGTATAGTTGTGAAAATTAATTTCCTGACTAGATTGCTTGCTTACTGTGTGTATGGGTTAGTTTTCTAACTTAAGTAATTTCATGTTCCCTGGGACCCATATTCACAGAACATAGTGGCATTCTGGGGTTTTCAGTTTTTCCTGATGGCATTGTTTCATATCTAAGTTTGGGTTCTGTGATGTGGCAGTGTGAAATGGCAAGTCCATAAGATTTTGACAAACAACTATAGTCCTTTATGTTGTTATGTCATTAAATGTTTCTATGTATTGTTCACGTACATATGTTTAATTAAAATCACATTTGTACATTGTCCAAGCTTGCTTTTCTTTGTGGTCTCTCTTCTTGGAAAAAAAAAAGTTCTCAACAATAATGACTTGACATCTGGATGATGTAAAGCAGTAGTAACTTTCCTTGCTGTTGGATGTCTAGAGTGCAGCCTGATTGAAGGAGAAGATCACGTAGAAGTAAATGGGGAGGTTTTCCAAAAGCCTTTTGTGGAAAAGCCGGTCAGTGCAGAAGATCACAACGTTTACATTTATTACCCCACATCTGCTGGTGGAGGAAGTCAAAGACTCTTTAGGAAGGTAAGCCTCTGTAGCCTTCCTGTCATTGCTGTTCTTCATATATTGTGTGCATTTCATTAAAAGTAATGTCAGTTTTATTAGAAGTAACCAAGTATTTAGTAAAACTATGATTCAATATTGGACTCTTGAAAATGTATCACATGGAGGTAAATTTGTAAGACTAATAGCAAACGTTTTTAGAAAAGCAAAACTTTGTGGTTTTTTTTTTGTTGTTAATTATTTAATTTTGATTTTACTTGAAAGGCAGAGAGACAGAAAGGCAGAGAGAGATCTTCCATCTGCTGGTTCTCGTTCCAAATGCCTACAACAGCCAGGGTTGAGCCTCCCTGAACCTAGGTTCCCAGAACTCAATCCCAAGTACTTCAGCCATAACCTGTACCTTCCCAGGATGTGTGTTATCTGGAAGCTGGATCACAAGTGGAGGACCCAAGATTCAAACCAGGCACTCTGATAATATAGGATGCAGTTACCCCAAGCCACAACTTAACTGCTGTGCTAAATACGTACTCCACCTTAGCTATTTAATTTTTAGCAAAATTCCTACCTCTAGAATATGAATATTTTCTTCTACCTCTCATTTGTATTTCTGTCAACCTAGAAATTTAGGTAAGGTCATCAATCTTTTAGAAAAATGGCCCAGAAACTAGTCAAGGGCATTGTGGCTCAGCAGGTTTAACCTCCACTTAAGACACCCACATCCCATATTAGAGTGCCTACTTCAAGTCCTAGATAATCTGCTTCTGATCCAGCTTCCTACATCTTGCAAAAGGTGGCAGATGATGGATCAAGTACCTGAGTTTCTGCCACCCATGTGGTAGGCTTGAATGGAATGCTAGGCTTCTGGCTTCCACTTGGCACAGCCCTGGCTGTTGGGGGCATTTGGGGAGTAAACCACCTGATGGAAAATAACTTCTGTGTGTGTTTATGTGTAAGTCTGTTGCTCTGCCTTTAGAATAAATAAAAAATATTTTTTTAAAAGAAAAATAGCAGAGCTGGTGTTTTGGCATTGTGTTGTGGTTAAGCTGTTACCTATGATGCCGGCATCCCATAGTGGCACCAGTTCAAGTCCCAGCTGCTACAGTTCCAATCTGGCTTCCTGCTAATGTACCTGGGAAGGCAGTGGAAATTGGCCCAAGTGCTTAAGCTACTGCACCCACACAGGAGACCTGGAAGAAACTCCCGGCTTTGACCAGACCCAGCCCTGGTTTTTGTAGCAATCTGGACAGTGAACCAGCAGATGGAAGATCAGTCTTTTTCTGTAACTCTGCCTTTCAAATAAAATAAATCTTTTTAAAAAATATTTAAAGGGATCACAGAAAAAACAACACTAATAAATTGTACATACATGAAAATATGCTTATTTGCACTTGTTATAAAGTGCTTATCAGTCTAAAATATATGGATTAGCAAACATTATAAAACATTGAGAATAGTAGGAAAACAAACATAAGCCCAAATATTTTTGGCAAAAATGCAAATTAGTGTAGCCTCTTAGCAACATAATTTAGCAATGTATCAAAATTCTGGAGATAAAAAATTAAGAACACAATGAAGTAATATTTTAATAGCCATTAGAGTGACAAATATTGAAGAATTTAACAGTTATGAATACAGAAAAGGATGAAGAACAGTAGGATGTTGATAAAACTAAATTGTTAAAGCAGTATATAAAAATTTTGGTATTATCTTTATAAGTTGAATGTGAACATATTCTATCCCCTAGCAATTCCACTATTAGTATGTATCTAAGAAACACTCTTCACACATTTGCCATGGTGACACTTGCAAGGAATTGAATCTGTCATTGTTAAAATAGCCAAAAGTTGAAAAACAACCTAAGAATACATTGATAGAAGAATGGATGAATTCTGATGTATTTATATAGTTAAAAAAAAATTCAATGGTAGTTAAAGTGAACAAACTTTGAATTACATACAGCAACTTGGATGAATCTTAGAAGCATGATTTTAGTATTTATATTTTTATGCTCTTTAACTTATAAGTAAGTTACAGAGACAACAGAGGGTAATAATAGGGCCACATTTGGTATTAAGTATTGTTAAATATTTGTGGCTTAAGAAAATTTTATTTGAAAACTCTTAAGGTAGAAATAGATGAGAAATAAATATTATATTATAAAAATGAGAAATAATTTGTTTTTTATATCAATGAACATCTTTTATTTTCAGATTGGCAGTAGAAGTAGTGTTTATTCCCCAGAAAGCAATGTACGAAAAACAGGTTCATATATATACGAAGAGTTTATGCCCACAGATGGTACAGATGTTAAGGTAAGCTTGATTAAAGAACATTTTAATTTTGTTTTTAGGTAATACTGATATTAAGGTAGTATTGATTAAAGTGCAGATGATCCTTGTAACTATGGCATTGTGTGCCAATACATCTATTGTGCATTGAAAATGCATTTAGTACACCTATGGGTCAAATGTTATAGCTTAGCAGTACAGTATACTGTATGTTAGTATAGTATACTTAGCTTAGCAGTACAGTATACTGTATGTTAGTTGTTAACTGTTGTGATCATGTGTGGCTGACTGGGACTTGGGACTGGTGCTGTCCAACATCATAAGAGAGTACCTTGTAACATATTGCTGGCTGAGGAAAAGATCAAAATTCAAAATCTGAAGTGTGGTTTCTTCTGAATGCATATTGATTTTTTTTGAAAAATTATAAATTGAACCAGGGAATATGTAGATTTTAATTTTCTATTTTGAGTTATTTCGGTGGTAATGCTTTAGCTATTTAACCTCTCTTATGGATCTCTTTCTGATTAGGTGTTTTTGTTCTGTTTCTGCCATGAACAGTTTGGCAGTCAGAAGCCTGTGGACCTTGTGGTGACAGACTTATCCTTGATATTTTACTATTTTTTAATGTCCTTTTAAAGAAACATACATAATAGTATATCACAAAGTTGGATTGTAAATATTTTGACACAGATTAAGCATCTCTAATCTGAGAAACTAAAAATCAAAATACCATGAAATTTGAAACTTTGAGAGTCAGGTTGCTGCTCAAAAATTTCGGATTTCGGAGCATTTTGAATGCTCAGATTAGGGACACTCAACCTGGACTTTGGAATGTTTGCATAGACGTAGTCATCACAGTTTATGAGCAGTGATTAGTGTTGATGTTTTGAGATCTGTGCCAACTATAATATGATAAAAAAAAATCTGTGATTTCAGTTAGTGACAAATAAGGCGTTAATAGCTCTACATCAGCTAGTCTTTGTCTAATGGAATTCTTCTTAAAGTATAAATATAATCATGAACATATCCTTAAAAATTCTCTGCTCGATTCTCATTGGTCATAGGATAATAGCCAAATTCATAAGCCTGGCATGCAAGCTATTTCATAGTCTGCTGTTAGAGGTTTCATTTCTTACAGTATATAAACTATATCAGATAGCTTACCCTAACCTGAATATCTCACTGTGTGTCATGCCTCTGTGCTTTGGGTTTGTTACCTCTGTTCATAATGCCTTTCCTTGTCTTGTCTGCATTCGGATTCATGCCTTTTGCTCTTTTAAATCTGTTTTTTGACAGTGTTTTCCTTCTGTAATCTTTGTATCTCTCCTTTGTTAAACTAAAACAATTTGAGAGCGATCACAGCATATGCTTCTTGGTATTCTCTCTGAAAGCTTAGTAGAATCATTTTCTGTAGAGAATGAAACTTCACTATGTTTCTTGATTTTCTCTCTTAATGCTCAATATAGTAGTTTTCTATACAGAATGAAACTGTTTGCTGGTTTTGACATATAACTTTTTATCATTTTATTGAAAATATTGGCATGTAAAACAGGAAGATTGATCTGTCTCTCCAGTAGTCTGGAATCTGAAGTATTTTTTTGATTATTTTTCCTTTGAATTTGATTCCTGCATTTAAATATACATGCACACACAGACGTATCTTTAACACTTGTGAAAGGTTTATACAGTGGGTCCAGATTATGCGCATGCTGAAGCTCGGAAATCTCCGGCGCTTGACGGCAAGGTGGAAAGAGATAGTGAAGGAAAAGAAGTCAGATACCCTGTCATTCTCAACGCCCGAGAGAAATTAATTGCTTGGAAAGTCTGTCTTGCTTTTAAGGTAAGTTGTTATATGAGCCCTGCAGACTTTTGTGAAAAAAGAATTTTTATTTTCTTTTTTGAGGAAAAGATCATATTTGGGCTGATGATTGGAGAAATAAGCTGAGAAAGTACTTAGGATGTCTGAACAGTTCGTGTGCTTTTTTTTTTTTTTTTTTTGAGGGAGTTTTGTATTGCTAACATGTTGTATTCTTATAGTGCCAATCTGTTCTTTCTGTACACATTCTATAAAAGGAAGTTTTGTCAGAAATAGAGAATAAATCAACTCACCAGTGTTTAGGGGTATTGTCTAACACATCATTCAAAACTGGTTAAAAGTTTATTTTCACAAAATTGATAACATTTTTTGTCACCTCAGTGTTCTAAGCCCTGGCAGTCAATCCTTTGGATTAATATGATAAAATATGTTCATGAAAGCAATATAAAGACATTTTGTAAAACTTTTTGCTTCTGACTATTTAACTAATTTACTCAATCTGTGTTCCTAGGTTTTTATCTAAGTACTTTTAGCAAAAATTTAAATGGAAATAGTACAGCTTGCATTCGATAAAGGACACATTTTACTTTTATGAAATTTTGCCTTGGATCTAAAATTGAAAGGCCAGAATATACTAGAATTACTGGTTATAAGTAAAAAATAATTTATATTCTCTTTCATGGAAGGCATGTTAGCCTGTAAATATGTTTTAATAAATTTCTATGAAATGTTTTACTATGCCAGGATTCCAAAAACTGCGACTCGGAATCATGTTATCCTAATGCATGATGATTTGAGCATAAAATGTAAAGATCAGAAAGTTGTTAGCAACAGATCAGGAAATTTATACCTTTCAACCATTTTCTTCCCCCAAATAAAGCAAATTTGTTACAGGTAGTTATAAACATGTGGTTGTCAGCACATAAAAGATTTACAGGGATAATTGGAAACTTCCTCTGAGATATGTCTTTAAAAATTTTCCTTTTATTAGGGGGACTACAGTGATAAAATTTCTACTAGTGTAAAATTTATTAATTAGAGCCTTTAAGTAGTTTGCTTTTGTTTTTTATTTAAATGTTAATTGAAAAACTTTGTGATATAATTTTTTGTCCTTTCTCATCTCTTATGTGTTATTTTATATTTACATCAAGATAAAGAGCTTAAATAATCATAGCATGTATGTCTTCAGAGTAGTCAAGTTATGAATTCATAATGTCTTTCATTTCCTACTTACTGTGAAGTAGATCAGCATGCAATAATAATACATTTTCAGGCATATTAGAATTTGATATATTCTAATTAAAGTGGAAAAGCATGAATCATAATGATTTAAATGAAAAACTTTAAAGTTTGTTATTTATTTTAAATAGCAAACAGTTTGTGGCTTTGATTTGTTACGGGCCAATGGACAGTCCTATGTCTGTGATGTCAATGGCTTCAGTTTTGTGAAAAATTCCATGAAGTATTATGATGATTGTGCAAAAATACTTGGGTAAGAATTTTTAAAATTTGTTTTTCTTCTCTTTAACTTGGCATTCTAGTTATTAAGAAATCACATTTTTATACATTTATTTATTTATTTGAAAGTCATCCGCTGGTTCATTCCCCAATTAGCCGCACCAGCTGGAGCTGCGCCGATCTGAAGCCAGGAGCCAGGAGCTTCTGTCGGGTCTCCCACATGGGTGCACATTGGGCCATCTTCTACTGCATTCCCAGGCAATAGCAGAATGCTGGATCGGAATTGGAGCAGCCGAGTCTCGAATCAGCACCCATATGGGATGCCGGTGCTTCAGGCCAGGGTGTTAACCCACTGCACCACAGCGCCGGCCCCAAGAAATCACATGATTTTTAACATTAAGTGATGAAAGTCCTTTAAGCATTGTAGAGTAATGAAAATCACTGTTCCTAAGGTGACATCCCCGAATACTGTGCCGGACCCTGTATTACACTTCAGGTTATCACAGACCTGTTACATTGAGTTATGATCAGTTATAGATGAAGGCTTATAGATATTTTAACTTTGTAGATTTAGAGATGCTGTAACATGACTATTGATATCCTTCAATGTTTTGCTCTATAGTTATAGTTAGATTTGATCTCTTTGTTATTTATTATTATCTATTTGTTATAGGAGGTTTCATTCTCCTATTTAATGGTAGAAAATTAGCATTCATTAAACAAGTAACTAGGCTATGGAAATATTTGGAATTCAGGATTCTTTGGCATGACATTGTTTCTGCAAGCGTGTGTTACTTGAAGATATAGGATTGTCAAGTGAATGTAAAAGAAATTATTACATATATAAATGCCACTTTTATATTCTTTGGCCTGTTTTCTTTAAAGATTTATTTTATTGGAAAGGCAGAATGACAGAGGAGGAGAGAGGGAAAAATCTTCCATACATTGGTTCACTCCCCAATTGACTGCAATGCCTGGGCTAGGCCAGGCCAAAGCCAGGAACCTATAATTCCATCATGGTCTCCCATGTGGATGTCTGGGACCCACCCTTGGGATATTTTCTACTGCCTTCCTAGGCACATTAGCAGGGAGCTGCATTGGAAGCGGAGCAGCTGGGACTTGAACTGGCAATCAACTATGAGATTCCAGCATTGCCAGCAACAGGTTAACCTTGTGTACCACCATGGCCTACCCCACAGCCTGTTTTCTTTATACCTTGATGCAGATGGTATAAAGCATAGGAAGAATTATTTTTTAAGACAAAGTATATGAAACAAGAAAACTTAGACTTTAAAATATTTAATAACTGAGTCAGCTTTTACAGTATGACTCAGATTTTTGAACATTTCCAATTTAGTAAATTTTAAAATGAATAAAAGCTAAATTTAAACAAAATTTAAAAGTAATTACTTAACTATGTTTTCATTGTTAACCCTATTAGTGATTTGTTAAAGATGACCATGATTTTTAAAATAGCTTTATAGGTGTTCAATAAATTGATAAGAAATGATTAGTGACCACCTTTAGGAGATAGTCTTGGATTCCAGGATTTATCTAATGAGATAGAAGTAATTATAGTAATTTATCTGAATACAATGTTGACTTAGATTTTAAAACTAGTAAATAAGTAACTAATCCCAAAGTTATGGCATCCCATTAGTGTGTTCTGATACACTAATTTAGAACTATTGATACAATTTTTCTTGATTAGGATTGATTCAAAGGTTACTTTACATGAGATGTAATCATGAGATAGTTTGATTTCAACTCTGATGTTTCTCTTATATTTCATTTTGTCATCAAATAACCTGTAGTGTTGTCTTTAAAAAACTATTTTTTTTCCTTTTTGTCTTGAAGAAATATTGTAATGCGAGAGCTTGCTCCGCAATTTCATATTCCCTGGTCGATACCTTTAGAAGCTGAAGATATCCCAATTGTACCAACTACATCTGGAACTATGTAAGTTTGAATTATTTTCATTTAGAAATTTGTGTTTTCCCCATAAATCTGTGCTATTATGTTAAAAATTAAATTCCTGAATAATTGTTAAATACTATGTATATCTCCATATGGATAACATGGATGAATACATTATATGCTTTTACAACAGTCCAGTAGAATAAAAAACTTTTATATTGCTACAAATACAATCCTGACATAAGCTTGAATAATTATAGAGCTACTTAATCAAGGCATAACAATAAAAGAGGTGCTAGCAGGTATCTTACCTAGAGGTTCAGAGTAGTCATACCACTTTGACTCTCAAGTTTTATCTTGAGGTAAATTAATTAGACCGGTATTACCAGAGTGTTTCATGACGTTCTGCTGATGAAAATCACTCACTGAAGCACAAGGTGAGTTGACTGAATGATTCACATTCACAGATTTACGTTAGCATGTGAAGTATTCTGGGAAGACCTGATTCTGGGAAAAACTAATCTTTTTTTAAAGATTTGTTTATTTATTTGAAAGGCAGAGTTACAGTGAGGCAGAGAGAGAGAGAGGTCTTCCATCCACTTGTTCACTTCTCAGATGGCCACAATAGTCGGAGCTGAGCTGATCTGAAGCCAGGAGCTTCCTCTGGGTCTCCCACGTGGGTGCAGGGGTCCAAGTATGTGGGCCCTTTTCTAGTGCTTTCCCAGGCACATTACCAGGGAGCTGGATTGGAAGTAGAGCAGCTGGGTCTCGAACCGGCACCTGTATGGGATGCTGGCTTTGCAGGCGGCGGCTTTAGCTGCTACGTCACAATGCTAGCCTCTAATCTCACTTTTAAAGTGGCATTTTCCAAACTTATTTAACACAAAATTTATTCCGGTAACTATTAATATCCTGCAGAGGTATATTCTGCAGCTCCTACTTTGGCAAATATTAAATTATACCTCTTAATTCAAGCATTCTTCTAAAACATTTTGTCTTCGTAAGCATGGGCAAAATATAGCAAATATATAAATAAAGCAGCCATCATGTAAAATTAATTTTGTTTGGTATAAAATTTCAGTTTATTCCAGTCTAATGCTATAGGGCCTGAAAAAGTTAATGGCAAATGGAATTAAAATGTTTATTTTTGTGCAATAAATTTTGAAATCCATGCATATGAAGAGTCTTCAGGAAGTTTATGAAAAATGTGTGTTATAAAAAAACTGCATGGGGCTGGCATTTGTGGCATGGTGAGTTAAGCCCCTGTCTGTGACACCAGATCCCACATGAGCTCCAGTTCAAGCCCCGGGTGCTCCACTTTGGATCTAGCTCCCTGCTAATGCACCTGAGAAAGCAGCAGATGATGACCTAAGTGCTTAGACCCCTGCCACCCAGGTGGTAGACTTGGATGAAGCTCTTGGCTCCTGGCCTCAGCCTGGCCCAACTCTGACCATGGGGCTATTTGGGGAAGGCACCAAATGGAACAAAGATCTCTGTCTCAATCTCTCCCTCTCTCTCTGTTGCTCTACCTTTCAAATACATAAACTAAGTCTTGAAAAACTGCATGGATTTCATAATTTTTTACAGCAAAATAAATTTTCTTTAATTCCATTTTGCATGAACTTCTTTGAAGTATGCTTGTATTTTATAAACTTCAGGGATCAGAGCCCATTTCCTTTTATCTGAAGAGTTGGTATAGACATCACTGGAGGAGTGTTATGTACCTTAATATCACCTATCCTTCCGCCCTCCAGTTTCTTATATTCTTTTAAGTATTTATTAAATAAAATTAAGACTGGATTGCTGTAAATTCTGTTCTTTATGGGAAAGAACCTTTAATGATAAAAGATGGCTCTAAATGAATGATTAGATACTGCATTAATCTATTTTATACAGCATAACCCATTTTAGAGAATTCAAGGCATATATATATATTTATTTTTGATTTTAGGATGGAACTTAGATGTGTCATAGCTGTCATACGTCATGGGGATCGAACACCGAAACAGAAAATGAAAATGGAAGTCAGGCACCAAAAGTATGTTTTAAGTGGAATAATTTAGTACTCATATACTTTTAAGATTTCTGATAAAGTGATAAGCTCTTTTGGTTAATATAGTATATAGAAAGACTTTTGCCTTGACTGTTTCTTGGCCATCAACATCTAAACCATATAAAAATGCATACAAAGTTCATTTAAAATAATAGTGTATTGTAGTAAACATTATTTTGGCAGTATCCATAAGTGTCATCAATCTGAATTGGCTGTTATTTATTGCCATAAAGTTATCCTATTTAATCTTGGTTTATCATTCTCTTGAGTTGCATTCTTATAGTCACTAACCTGTCAACCTTCTAGAGAAAATTAGGATGAAAGTTCCTGTTACTTCTATTCAGTGTTTGATTTGGGGAATATATAATTTGAAAACCTGAGTCATTAAGTAGGTATTGAAGTAGAAAGTAGATGTTTTTTAATGCATATGCAGTGATTTCAAAAAATATAATAATTTAGCATTCACTTTCTACCTTTAGAAATCATTTAAAATTAATATGATTATTAGATATGGTTTAGGAAAGTACTAAATTTTATTAATAAACTTTAGAGGAGCTATGTGGTGTAGTAAGCAAGGATGCACAGTACTGGGAACCATAGACCTTGAGTTCTGGTCTCATATCTATCACTAATTGTTATTTACTAGTTTAAATGTATGGTAGTGACATTAATGATTGCAAATGACTAACATTGCTCTGTCCTTTTTTTTATAAGATTTTTTGACCTCTTTGAAAAGTGTGATGGATATAAATCAGGGAAATTAAAACTCAAAAAGCCAAAACAATTACAGGTGAGTATATTTGCTCTCTTGTTGACTTTTAAATTTTCAGTGGTGAAATTACATGAAAATTCAATTCTTTATTAATTTATTTTTATAGGAGGTGCTAGATATTGCAAGGCAACTTCTTACAGAGCTGGGGCAAAATAATGATTCTGAAATTGAAGAAAACAAGTCAAAACTTGAACAACTTAAGACGGTACTAGAAATGTAAGTATCTTTTTGAAACCCTGAGTTGTAAACTGCTGGCAGTTCTCTCTGTTTATATTTGTGACTTTCCATTGTAATTTCCTGCAGTGATCCTTTGGCTCTCTACCACTGTAGCTAAGGAGGAATGAGTGAAAAACCATTGTCAGATTGTTGTATTGAAGGTTATTGTTTTAGTTTTAATTTTAATTTGAATGAGATTAAAAAAGAATACCAGATTTGGGTTTCCCAGGAAGTACTTGTTCTAATGAACACTACATTGCTAATGTGACCACAGATTCAATGCCATTTAAATAAAAAAGGTCTGAACTGTGCTTAAATCAAGTTAAACTTTCATCCACCAGTATTCTTTTTTTTTTAATTTAATTTTATTTTTTGACAGGCAGAGTGGACAGTGAGAGAGAGACAGGGAGAAAGGTCTTCCTTTGCCGTTGGTTCACCCTCCAATGGCCGCCACGGCCGGTGCGCTGCAGCCGGCGCATCGCGCTGATCCGAAGCCAGGAGCCAGGTGCTTTTCCTGGTCTCCCATGGGGTGCAGGGCCCAAGCACTTGGGCCATCTTCCACTGCACTCCCTGGCCACAGCAGAGAGCTGGCCTGGAAGAGGGGCAACCGGGACAGAATCCGGCGCCCCGACCGGGACTAGAACCCCCACCGGTATTCTTAACAACAGTATTCTTATTAAATATTTACATATTTGACCACATATAATCTGATTTCCTATACTTTTTAGACATGTATACATTTATATTTTCATATATTTCTGCACTTTATAATGACTTTAGGATTTGCTAACTTTTGTTTAAAAGAAGAAGGTATATGGTTTTATTTATTTATTTGACGGACTCAGAGAGACAAAGAGACAGATAGTTAATGAGCTCCCATCCACATGTTCACAACCCAAATGCCCACAGTGCTTGCGACTGGGCCATGCTGAAGCCAGGAATGGAAAAGTCAATCCATGTTTGCTCCATGGGTAGCAGGAACATGAACCAGTAACTTGCTTGTTGCCTCCCAGAGTGCATATTAGCCAGAAGATGGAATCAGGAGCGGGGCTGAGACCAGTATGGGATGCAGGCAACCTCATCAGTATCTTTATAACCAGGCCTCTGTACCTTGTTTTTAATGTGCTTAGAATGACTACACATTCTCTGCTAGGCAATTTTGAATTCAGTAAGGCAGTTACAAATAGCAAGATATATTATTGTGTGTGAATTGATTTTTCTCCACATAGTTTTTAGTTTTTCTTTAGGAAATCATATCAGTAGTTACTTACTATTGTCTGTTTTGCTTGCTCTTTTATTTCTCAGGTATGGCCATTTTTCTGGAATAAATCGTAAGGTTCAGCTGACTTACCTCCCTCATGGTTGTCCTAAAACATCTAGTGAAGAGGAAGGTATGTCATTCTTAATGCTTGCTGGATTTTACGTATATACATTGACTCACTATTCATTGTTGACTACCTTTGGGTCACCTACTGCTTAACAGTTTAGGGATAAGCGTGTTAAATAAATAAATAAATAAAGTGGAATTTTGTTAACTATGCCTTCTATCCTAAAGGATAGATTTTGATCTTTATCTTTTAAGTTCAGGGTAGCTTTTATTATTTTGAAAACTTCTTAGGACTTCCCTTTTACTCTGGGATTGTTTCAAATACTATTTAGATAGTGTTCTTTATTGGGCCCTTCTTCTTCCTTTAATAGGGGTTGGCAGAATATACAGGAAGATAAAGCTCAACAAATACCCAAAGACTATTTGAAAAATACACAATCGATGTGTTTCTAAAAAATGATAAACAGGAAGAAAACTCAAATATCCAAGGACTATAAGAAAAAAGAATCAATGTGTTTCTAAAAATAAGTTGATATTTTTCTCCACCTAATAAACCAGAACAAGCATTTAAATTAAGATTGATCTCCTAAGAGCAGTCTATACATGAATCCAAAAATTTATTTACCTTTTCAAAGAAAAATGGGCAGGAGTTAATGATGTCATCTCAAGAAAAGAAATGAAGTTGGCTAGTAAAATCATGATGATACGGTAATGCAAGTTTAGTGTCTTTTACCAGAAGTCTTTCAAATTTTGGATTTTTTTCAGATTTTGGAATATTCACCCTATACCTGAGTTATCTTGAGAAAAGGATCCAAGTATAACACAAAATTCATTAATGTTTCATATATACCTTATACACATAGCTTGTAGATGATATAGTACCATGTTTTAGTAAGTGCCTAACGCTATTTGGATGAGTTCCAAAAGACTTTGAATGAAGCAAACAATATGAAGTACTAAGTGGCCAAGTGCAAAATTAGAAATTAGAGTGAAAGACATTGAAATAGATTCTACTTCAAATGTCTCCTAGAAAGGTATTTCTAAGGTTTCAGGTTGCTTTGTGAAATTTGTTGCAGGAGATACATGTAGGAATTCTAATGTATTAAAATGCCAGGTCTTATTATTCCCGAGGGAGTTATGAGAATGACATCAATGGAAACTGAGTATCAGCATTTCTGTCCTTTCAGCTGAAGTCCAAAGGTAGCAGAAGGCACCACAGCCAGTGGCAAAATGATCAAGCTGTCACACTTTCTCAAGGCATTCTCTCCCCTGTCCAGTAATTTCATGTTCCTTGGATGTGTAGAAATCATTCTGCTAATAAGCCTAAGCCTTACGATTCAGAGGTCAATTTTTATATAGTATTTCTTTATAAATTTTGTGCACAAAATAACCAGCTTCATGGTATGGAATCTTCCACTTGTGGCATTGTGTCAGCTTTAGATTTTGGAACATTTTGGATTCCAGATTTCAGGTGAAAGAAGCTCAACCTGTAATAATGTCTCTTACTTCATACTGCCATAGTGTTTTCTTACTCTTTTCTTTTCCAAAGGGCTAATAAAGAATGCTGACAAGCGTGCATTGCAACAGGATTTCAGACCACTGGTAGAAGTATAAATTGTACAACTTTTTGAAAATCAATTTCAACAAAAGAAAAACTTTAACTAAATTTCCTATGCTTTGAACTTAATTTTACTTACAAGAATCTATCCCAAGGAAGTAGATATGTTCATAGAAAGATTGATCTTTAGAGTATTCACAATGGCTTTGTTTCTAGTGACAAAAATAGAAGTAAACGAATGGTTATCTTAAATGTAAAAACAACTTTGAGTATATTAATGTTGCATATTATCATTTAATATATTGCTCTCATCACATTTTGTGATTAGTACCAATACAGGTTAATTTCCTTTATCAGTGTTTATAATAAAAAATGTTCCATAAACAAATATACTTTTTACAAAATCAGTAACAGTCCTTCCTAACATGAAGCTGGTATTGGCCGGCTTGGTAAAGTTCACTCACGCAACTGCTAGCATGCCCAAGGGAAAGGTGAGTTTCCGTCACTTTTAATGAGTCACCATTAAATTCTTTTAGTGCCTAGATGCTCATTTTTAAATTACCTCTTTTTCCAAAATGTAACACAGGTCTTGAAACCAAGATAAATTTGCAGGTCAGAATTAAGTACAGAAATTCATGAATTTATTGTATTGCTCATCTGACAGAAGACTGTGATCTGAGATGTAGAGAGGTTCCACAATTCCAAATTTTAAAAGTTGCCCATGACTACATTTTGTTGTTTGCATAAAATTTTAATTAAAATAAATGCTGGTCTCCATCATTGCATGTTTTCTGAAAAATTATGCAAATCACTGATTGCCCATCATAACCTGTATATCTTCTTCACCTCAGCTAGCATAAATTTCCTTTGATGCCACAGCACTCCCGAAGGCACTTGATATAAGGACAGATAAAAGAACTCTTAATCTAGCTGATAGTAGAGCAACTAAAGTACGTATATTGGCTAAATCACTAAGAACAGAAAAGAGAGAAGCAGTACTTTCCTCCAGAAAGTTAAGAGCCTTCTTCGTAAAGTATAGAAGAGATTTTAAAATTTCAGTAACATTTTAACATGTAGACTAAGGAATATTCCTGATAGAAACTACAGCCTGCAAAGATAAGCACAGTCAAGAAATAAAGCCTTTTGTTTTCTTTTGGGCCAATTTCCACTGCAGAGAAGAGCATAGAGAAGAAGTTAATGTTAGGAAATATCTACTTAAAGAAAAACATTTTCACATGTATTCTAGACAGCCGAAGAGAAGAACCGTCCTTGCTTCTGGTTCTAAAATGGGGAGGAGAATTAACTCCTGCAGGCAGAGTCCAGGCTGAAGAACTTGGAAGAGCTTTCAGGTGTATGTATCCTGGAGGTCAAGGTAAATCTTGTATTTTCTTTAAATTGATTAATTTTATATTGTATTTTTTCAAATCTTGATTTACTTTGTGCTATTATAAAATATAGAAATACAATGAGATAAAAATATAGCTTAAGTGATTTGAGGATTTATTTTCAGGAGATTATGCAGGGTTTCCTGGTTGTGGTTTACTTAGATTACATAGCACCTACCGACATGACCTCAAAATTTATGCTTCTGACGAAGGACGGGTACAGATGACTGCAGCTGCTTTTGCAAAGGTATAAATAAATATAAGTGGTTGTTTAAATTTTCATCTACTATTTAATTATAAAAGATTTTTACTTGGAACTTTTAACTAAAACTCTAAAATGGCAGTCACAACTATATTATTAACTAATGCTTATTTATTGCTTTGCATTATAAAATTTATCATGTAACAATAGTTATTATGATTTTGTTATTTTGCATACTGTCTTTTAACCTGTGCTGTTTATATTTAATACATCTAGGGGCTGTTAGCTCTAGAAGGAGAGCTTACTCCCATTCTTGTTCAGATGGTAAAAAGTGCAAACATGAATGGTCTTTTGGATAGTGATAGTGACTCTTTGAGCAGTTGTCAGCAACGTGTGAAAGCAAGGCTTCACGAAATACTTCAGAAAGACAGAGATTTTACTGCTGAAGACTATGAAAAGGTGGGTCTTGGCAAACTTTTATATTGGAACCATTACATGCACAGAGAAAAGTACATAAAACAAATTAAGTGCTTACTTTATTTTCAAACACAAATACTCACCAGGTTAAAAAAAAAAAAAATATTGGAACAACCCTGGTTCCTGAATGCCCTTTCTCAGTTGCAACACATTCTCCATCTCCTAGAAACAGCTATAGTCTTAGAGCTATAGTCTTATAGTCTAGAATACTGTTTTGGACTTGTATACCTCTCTAACCATCATGGTATCATTTTTAGATTTTAGCTCTCTTTTTAAAAAAGTTTTTTTATTTTAAATGACAACTGAAAATTGTACATAATTGTTTTTGCATAATGTGATATTTTGAAACATACATACATTATGGATTGGCTAAAATGAGTTATTTAGTATATGTATTACTTCACATACTTATTTTTTGTGGTGAGAATACAATCTACTTTCTTATTGATTTTTAAAATTAAAATACATTGCTATTAACTGTAGTTATTAAGTTGTACAATATATCTCTTTGACTTATTCCTTCTAACTGAAGTTTTATATCCTTTGACCAATATCTGTCTAAGCACTTCCTGCTCCTGACGCTGGCAACCACCATTCTACTCTGTCTACTCTTTTGAGTTCAGCTTTTGTAGATGTCACATCTAAGTGACGTCATATGTAATAGTCATGGAAGTTCATGTATGTCTTAGACATGCTGGTTTCATTGCATTTGGATATATATGCCCAGTAGTGGGATTGCTGGATTTTGTGGGTAGTTCTAGTTCTAGTTTTTGAACAGCCTAGGTGCTGTTTTCCATAGTGGCAGTACTGATTTACTTTGACAATTTTTTTAAGCTTCATATAATTGTGTGTGTTTTATGTCTGCTGTGTATTATATTTGTGAAGCTTGTCCATATTGTTGACTGTTGACTGTTTACATAGTGTAGTGTTCTATTTTAGAGTTGGCAGACTTTTTCCATAAATGACCATGTGATCTCTGTTGCAGGGTTTTGTTTTTTGTTTTTCAGGATAACCTTTAAATATGTAAAAATCATTTTTTAAAGATTTATGTATTTATTTGAAAAGCAGAGTAACGGAGAGCAGAGGCAGAGAGAGAGAGAGAGAGAGATCTTCCATCTGCTGGCTTATTCCTCAAATGGCTGCAATGGCCAGAACTGGGCTGATCTGAAGCCAGGAGCCAGGAGATTTGCCAGGTCTACCACGTGGGTGCAGGGGCCAAAGCACTTGGGCCATCTTCTACTGCTTTACCAGGCCATAACAGAGAGCTGGATTGAAAGTAGATCAGGGACCAGCGCTGTGGTGTAGCAATTGTAAAGCCGCTGCCTGCAGTGCTGGCATCCTGTATGGATGCTGGTTCGAGTTCCGGCTGCTCCACTTCCGATCCAGCTGGGTCTCAAACTCACCTATATGGGATGCTGGCACTGCTGGTGGCTGCTTTACCTGCTGTTTCAGCAGGTAATTTAACTGGATCTTTTGATTACCCATAGGATTTTTTTCTCCCTTTACAATCTTTTTAAATTTGTTTTCTTTCCTTATTTCAATACTTAAAGCTCTTAAAACAATATTGAGTAATAATAGCATTTCTTTTCTTGCCCATATTCTCAGAGGAAAACTTTTAATATTTATTCATTAATTATGAAGTTTTCTGGTTGATTTTTAGCAGGGAAATTTTTCAAAATAAGGAAATTCCATTCTGTTCCTATTTAGCTAAGAGATTTTAATTGTAAAAATTTATTGAATTTTATAACATCTGTTATCTGGTACCATCATAGAATAAGTTGAATGTGAACCTAATGTGGGTCCTAGAATAAGCCTAACTTTTTAAATATTTTTAGTATATTGCTGATTTTAGTTTGCTAATATTTTTCATTAGTTTTGTGTCTATGCTTTTGAATTAGGTTGCCCATTCCTTTTTTTGCCTTGTTATTATGTCTTTGTTTTCAGTGTCAGGATTATGCTAGCTTCATAAAATTAGAGAGTGCCCTATTTTGGAGGAGTGGTTTGTATACAAATATTTCATTAAATTCTTTTTAACTTTGTTTTTTCAAAATAATTTCAAATTCACAAAACAAAAATTGTGAAATGGTAATACAAAGTGTTCCCCTCCTCCCTCTGCCCTCTTAACATCTCATATTGCTGTATTTGTCACATTTAATAAACCACACCCAGCTTCCCTATTTTGTTGTATCCAAACTCCTTTTATCCCTCTCACCTGGCCCAGCCTCTAGTAGACAACTTTCTGTATTGAGATTCAGTTTTCTATTGTTTAATTTTAGCTCCTGCATAAAATGGAGAATGTGTGATGTTTTTGTTTTTCTCCATTTTTTTTTGCTCAACCTGATGTCTTCAGGTTCCATCCATTTTGCTGTAGATGACAGCATTTCATTTAAGTAGCTGAATAGTATTCCATTGTGTATGTGTACTATAGTTTCTTTATCCATTTATTTATTGATGAATACCTTTGTTGATTTCGTATTTTGGATATTGTGAACAGTGCCACTGTATCACTTTGATACAGTAAGTTCATGTTTGCTTGGTATTTACCCAGTAGTGGAACTGCTGGATAATATGACAGTTCCATTTCTAGATTTTTTAAACCAATCTGATGTTTTGCACAATGACTACATTAATTTGCATTTGCATCATTTGTTTCTGTCTTTAATACTAGCCATTCTGGGCCAGCGCCACAGCTAAATAGGCTAATCCTCTACCTGCGGTGCCAGCACACCAGGCTCTAGTCCCGGTCGGGGCGCCGGATTCTGTCCCAGTTGCCCGTCTTTCAGCCAGCTCTCTGCTGTGGCCTGGGAGTGCAGTGGAGGATGGCCCAAATGCTTGGGCCCTGCACCCACATGGGAGACCAGGAGAAGCACCTGGCTCCTGGCTTCGGATCAGCGTGGTACGCTGGCTGCAGCGGCCATTGGAGGGTGAACCAACGGTAAAGGAAGACCTTTCTCCCTGTCTCACTGTCCACTCTGCCTGTCAAAAAAAAAAAAATGCTAGCTATTCTGACAGGTGGTATCTCATTGTGGTTTTGATTTGTACTTTTCTGATGACTAGTTACATTGAACATTTTTTTTACAAATTTATTGGCCATATTTATTTCATTTGAGAAGTGTCTACTCAGGTCCTTTGGTCCTTTGACCATTTCTTAATAGGATTGGTTATTTTGTTGTTGAGTTTTTTAAGTTGCTGAAATATTCTGCATATTAGTCCTGTGTTCTTATGTTCTTTTGTTGTAGTGTCTCCTTTTTGATCTCTAATATTGTATGAGTTTTTTTTTTCTTGTTAGTCTGAAGATTTGTCTATTTTCTCAAAAGACTAGACTTTTCATACTGTTGCTCTTTTTTTTGTTGTTGTTGTTTCAGTTTCATTTATTTAGCTCTGATACTTATTTCTCATCTCTTGCTGATTTGGGGTTTGATTGTTTTTCCTAAGTACTCAAGATGCATCTTTAGATCATTGTTTGAGACTTCTCTTTTTTAGTAAGCACTTAACTGCTATAAACTTCTTCGTTCTGTTTTGCTGTATCCCATGTTCGATGTGTTGTGTTTTCATTTGTTCAAAGAAATTTTTTATTTCATTTTTAATTTCTTGAGTGATCCCTTGGTCGTTCAAGAACATGTTATTTAATTTCTATGTATCTAGAAATTTTCTATTATTCTTGTTGATTTCTAGGTTTATTCCTTGTGGTTTAATTTCAGTCTATTACAAATTTATTAAGAATTGATTTGTGTCTTATTATGTGGTTTGTCCTAGAAAATGTTCCATATGCTGATGAGAAGAATGTATATTCTGTAGCTGTTGGGTGAAATATTCTTTAATTTCTGTTTGGTCCAGTTGCTCAATAGTATAGTTCAAATCTGATTTATCTTTGTTGATTTCCTATCTGGATGATTTGTCTATTGATGTCAGTGGGTGTTAAAGTCCCCTACTATTACAGTATTGGAGGCTGTTTCTCTCTTAAGGTCTAATAATATTTGCAGTAATTGAATGGCTTTATGTTGAGTACATATATATTTATGATTGTTATATATTCTTGCAGAATTATCTTGTAATCAACATATAATGTCCTACTTTTTTTTTTTTACAGTTTTGGAGTTAAAATTTGTTTAATCTGATAGGAATATACCTATGCTGCTTGTTTTTGGTTTCCATCTGCATGGTATATCTTTTTCTTGCCCTTCACTTTCAGGCTATGTAAATTTTTACCTGTGAAGTGAGCTTCTTGTAGGCAGCATAAAGTTCAATTTTGTTTGTATATCTACTTAGCCAACCCTATATCTTCTGACTGGGGAATTTAGTCCACTTAAGTTCAGCATTAATATTAACAGATAAAGACCAGCGCCGTGGCTCACTTGGCTAATCCTCTACCTGCAGCACCGGCACCTTGAGTTCTAATCCCGGTTGGGGCGCCGGATTCTGTCCCGGTTGCTCCTCTTCCAGGCCAGCTCTCTGCTTTGGCCTGGGAGTACAGAGGAGGATGGCCCAAGTACTTGGGCCCTGCACCCGCATGGGAGACCAGGAGAAGCACCTGGCTCCTGGCTTCGGATCAGTACAGTGTGCTGGCCGTAGTGGCCATTTTGGGGTTGAACCAACGGAAGGAAGACCTTTGTCTCTGTCTCTCTCTCACTGTCTAACTCTGCCTGTCCCAAAAACAAAAAACAAACAAAATATTAACAGATAAGAACTAACTCCTGTCATTTAGTTGATTCATTATTGATTATGTCTGCGTTGCCAGTGAATTTAGTACTGTATGCATTTTCATGTTCACTTTTACTGTAGGACTCCCTTCAGGAATTCTTGTAAGGCTGATCTGGTAATGAATTGTCTTGGTTTTTTATTCTCTAGGAAATACTTTATTTCTTCTTCACTTTTAAATGATAGTTTTGCTGGATATAATATTGTTTGTTTAAAAGTTTTTCTTTTTAGATATTAAGTATATAATCCCACTCTCTTCTGGTCTGTTAGATTTCTGCTGAAAA